TTCATTAGCAGAGAAACTTCTCCACCAGGGACTGCAGTGACTTTAACACTACTGGGTGGTCCATGTCATAAAATCAAAGGATTAGCTGTCCCAAGACTGAGAGAATCAGTAGACACTGCCAGTGGCAGAGTATTTTATTTCCACCCGTGTGGAGGGCAGTTGGACCTAAGGACCTCTGCCCTGTGCTTACTCTAGCCATGCCTGATTATTACTATTGACTGCATCCCTTCCAGCATCCCACTCTCTTACCACGATTCCTGTCTTTCCAGGTTACTCTTTTATTCCTCTGAACCTGCAAAGGTGCTGTAATGTCTATAAAATCTCTCTTGACCTGCTCTGGCCCCTGGACCGTTTCTCTGCTCCTCTTAAGCCAGCACGGTCTCCACTTCCTCTCTGCCTGTCCTCTCAGGCATCTCCCCACGGCGCCATAGGAAGAGCCCTTAGCAAGGCCACCAGTGGACCTCCACGTTGCCCAATCCAGTGGTCAGAGGCATTCGCCACTGTCCATCACTGCCTCCTCTGGAACGCTTCTTCACTTAGATTTCTGGACAGCCCTCTCGCTCCTCTCTCCTTCCCCTTCTCGCTCACTGCTCCTTCACTTTTTGTTACACCAAAAACTTTGGCTTCTTTCTTTCTCTTCTCCCACATCCGAGTTAAGGGTCATCTCTGGGGCCTCCTCCTTTGAAATGCACCCCACTCTGATCTCTTCACCTCCTCTGCCACTCGCACCCTGGCCTAAGCCACCGTCATGTCTCTGGATGCTGCAGGAACCTGCTAATGGGCGTCCCTGCTTCACACTGCAGCCCGAGTGATTCGTCTAAAGCCCAAGTCTAGTCATGCCACCCTCTGCTCAGAATCCCCTAGTGAATTCCCATCTCACTCCAAGTCAATTAGAAATTTCTATCATGGCTCCACCGTCACCACTCTCCCTCACCTCATTTTGCTCCAACACCACAGACCACCTGCACTTTGTAGAACATTCCAAGCGCACACCCACCTCTGGACTTTGCACTTGCTGTTCCTTCCATGGGACACTTTCCCTGGGTATCCATGAGACTCACTCCCTGCCTCCTTTGGGTCTTTGATCAAATGGGACCTTATCAGAGAGGTCTTCCCTGACCACTCGCTATAAAATAGCAGCCCTTCCTGCCCCATCATTTTTGTTCTCTTCATGCTGCTTTATCATTTTCTTCAAAGCATTTATCACCTCCTGACATATCATATATTGACCTGTCTCCTGTCTGTCTCCCCCCGCACAGTGTAAGGTCCTGGAGGGCAGGGACGGCATCAGTTTTTATTCACTGGTCTATCTCCAGCTCCCAGAATGGGGCCAGGCAGACAGACACTCAATAAATACTTGTTGAATTAATAAATTAAAATTCCACACACATATACAATGCTAAGCCATTTACAGGATAAGGAATTTGAAAACAGCACAAATCTCCAACAATGGGGTTAAATAAATTAAGGCAGAACCATAGGATGGAATGCTTTGTGACCATTAAAATAGTGTTGTTGAGTATTTAGTGACATGGGAAAATGTAACACTACCTTGAAAAATAAAAACAAAATAAGAAAAAAACTCAGTATACTAAAAGTACGTAATATAGAACCTAATTTGAATTATAAAAGAAATGATTCTGTGAATATATATGGAGAGGGAGAAAGAGAAGCAGTAGACCAAATAAAGAGGAGAGAGAAGAGACTAGAAATACATACAGGTTATGTATGGGTTAAAAGTGGTTATCATTCAGGGGTGGAAAGCTGGGTGATTTTTATTTTCTTTATGCTTCACTATTTTGTCCAAGTTTTCCATAATAAATATATATTACTTTTAATAATCATTAAAACTAATTTTAAAATTCCAAATTATTGGGAGAGAGAATATACTTAGCCCACTCCTGGTCTGAGCACCTGTGGAGGGGGAAGCGAGGCCCCGTGGTGTGTAGGGTGACCCCTCTAAGTTCTCTACAAGGGGGATGTGGTCAAGGAAGAAATGATGGGTCTCTCATACTGACCTCAGCTGTGACAGTGACATTGGGGAAGGAGAGGAAAGGCCAGCTATGCAATTTCTAGGGTTTAGATCTGGCAGATACTAGAATCATCATTTCCAGTGAAACCTGTCATTTCCTTTAGTTAGAGACTATGAGAGGCCTCCGGTGTTAGAACAGGAAAGGCCCTTTAAGGTCATCCAGCCCAACTCCTTCAACCGAGGCAGAAGTAGAATGATCTGCCCCTGGTCACAGCTGGTGGCAAAGCTGGGGCCCGAGTTGAGGTTCTTTGCTCTGTGCTGGTGTTCTCTACACCACACCTTGCTACCTCTCCACCTTATGCCATGTGGACCATACCTTGGAAAGACCATGTTGGTTAGATCTGCTTCTCTGAGGAGTCTACCTTTCTCCTAACCCATCTTCCCAGGCCCAGGAATTGCACTCCAAGGCTGGTAGGCATCTAGGAGGCTCTACCCAGCTTTAATGGCCGGCCAAGTTTGTAATTCCTTTCTGGACATTCTCCAAATCCTGCAGTATTCATCCTCTTGTTGGTTGGCTACAAAATGGAATTTTTTTCCTGACATGAAAATACCTCTGTGCCTGGGAAAAGGTACAAGGCTGGCTTGGTTTACAAATGACAGAAAGTTGGAAGCCAGCTTGGCCCTCAGGCTTCTGTTGTTTCAGCCCAAGCACAGACTTTCTTCTTTAAGCCCCGCAGTTCAGAGAAGTCTTTCACATCAGGGCTGCTCTGTAGCGAGCAGCTCCTGCAACACAGCTGTGTCAATAAACGGGGGACGAGGAGCCGTCTGTCTTCCTAGAGGTGCCAGCAGTGGCCACTCAGGCTGCTCCGAGTGCAGGACATGCACGGGATTGGGTAAAAGTGTAAAAAATATTTCTTACTGTGAGTTGTAGTACCAAAAGTTTGAAACCCACAGTTTTAGTGAACCTGAAATACTCTTCTGTGAAAATGGCCCATGTGAAGGACTCTTTCAGTAGAATGGCTCCACTTTTTGAATTCTAACAGATTCTAGTGGCATCTCATAAGGGAAAATCCTCTAAGGAGATATTTGGATTAAAAGCTCCCTGAGTAACTCCTTGCCACCCACCCCTGGGAGCAGTGAAATTTCTTTTACAACAAGATGCAGGGTTTTCCTTGCTGTTTTATGAAGAAATTGATTCTCCTTTAGCTCTGCTGTTGTGTCTGGTCATATTTATGAAAACTAGTGGGTACTGCTTCCCTATGGAGAAACGTGTTGTATTGGCCAGTGGTTCCCCAGTGGGGAGATTTCGTCCCCCAGGGGACATTTGGCAGTGTCTGGAGACATTTTTTGTTGTTACAAATGGTCTGGGGCATGGGAGATGTGCTATTGGCATCTAGTGGGTAGAGACCAGGGATGCTGCTAAACAGCCCACAGCACACAGGCAGCCGCCACAGCGAAGAGTTGTCCAGCTGAAAATGTCAATAGAGCCAGGTTAAGAAACCCTGGCCTACAGGAAGCCTTTTCTGTAGTAGACTAGAGTTTCTTAAATCTAAGAACAATAATTTCAGGACCATACTGCCACATGGAATTAGGTCAGGGGCTATATAGATCAGTGTCTTTTTACTTAGTTAATAAACTGGCTAAAAATATAGTACTATGTCACTTGCCCAAAAATATCTTTATCCTTGAACAAATGCACTCATTAATTTAAAAATATTTTAATGACAATTACAGTGCTTATTGGATTCATGTTTGATAAGTTGTCGAGACCCTTCTATGTGATAGTTCATTTAAAATGCTGTTTCTTAACCTTAACAGATTCTTAAGACGACTTATATGTTCATTGTAGAAAACGTGAAAAGTATTTTTTAAGAGATTTAAAAGAATAGTAATTCCAGGAGGAATCAATTCAGTATATTATTTACATTTTTTTATGTATTTTAAAAATAGTTGAAGTCATCGTATTTATATAGTTTCTAGGCTGCTTTTTTCTTCTTACATTTCAAACATCACCCCAAATTATTTGAGCCTTGGTAAACATTCAAATGGCTGCTTAGTACTCTATTATATGAGAATGAACCTCAGATTCCTAAACACTTTTGTTGAACACAGATTATCATCAGTTTTTCACTATTATAAATAATTTGTGATGAACATTTCTGCTTTTCCTGTTGCTTTGTATGTAAGTAGCGCAGCAGCCTGAGTTGTTCGAAGGGCTTTGGGACATGGCTGTTTAATTCCCAGTCCATGACAGAAGCAGGACAGAAAAGTCTTGTGTCAAATGCAGCAGAGCAGAAACACCAGGGACACCATTCAGAACACTGACTCATAAGAAAAGTTCTAGAACACCTGGAAATGTGGATTTAAAACTTGGCTAGACCAACCAAACCATATATCTGCATATATACACATACAGGTAAGTAAATGCCAAAGAGGAAAAAAAAGTCTGGAGGGTAAACACCAGACTTTTAGCAGTGGTGACTCTGTGATAGAAATTGGGATTAGAGAGGGGGGCAGGCAGAGAAGAGACACTTTAGGGTTTTTTTTAATATTATCTTGTAGTCTTTGAATTCTTAATTATGATAATATATTTATATATAACTTGTGTAATGTTTAAACGTATTTTAGAGAATGAGTTGGATCTTCATGGAACAGAGCCTGGTTTATGTCAGCTATACTTATCTTTTACGGTGCTTGGCACACTTGGGGTACTCGACAGATGAGTGAGTCTGGAGATGGTGGTTTATTTGGAGCAAAGAAGTTCTCATGTGCATTTAGATGACAGGCCTTCATAGCGTGTTCCCTCCTCCAGTGTATTGGACGTGACACCTCTGTATCCACAGTCTGTGACTTAGAAGCAGTGGGTGGCAACACACTGTCCAGGGCCAGGAGCCTGAAGGTTTCAGGTTGACGAGCTCATGTTTCCCTTGGTTCCTCTAAGTGCCGGTTGGGGTAGCCAGAGCTTCTCTGAGAAGCGCACAGCGGTCCCTGGGCCAATAGATGGTGAGATGGTTCCCGTTTCTTTCAGGCCGTACACCTGGTCCCTGGCTCCACGCTGAGGTGGCCGGGCAGAGCTCCGATGACATCAAAGGCAGAAATGCTCAGGTAACACGTCCCTCAGGTCTCTGAATATAAACCAGGAATTCTCCTCAGGGAGCACAGAAATGTTGAGAGTGTGCTTTCTCCTTAACAGCATCACATTTTTCCTCAGATGTTTTTCCCTCAGGGAGAGCCATTTGGTGTCCCTGTGTTTCCTGCTGGAATGAAACACTTACAATTTCAAAATCTGAAGAGTGGAAGGGGGCTTCTATGGACTCACCACCATGACATATAGAGAAGTTGGACAACCAGAACCCCTTTGGAATCACTCTGCAACAATCGCTCTGTTTGCTCCCCATTCATTCTTCCCTCATCGTGATGGCTTGAGAAACCTGAGAGAAAAACTCTATAACGTGTATAAAACATAATTCAGTGTTCTCTCTCATCTATAGAATACGTGGTTGCTTACAGCACCTTTGGGTTTTTTACACCCCCATCAACATTATAATTAATTTTGGTCAAATTTAGTTACAATTCAAGTCCTGGTGGCTAGAGGAAAGCTGGGGGGAACCAGACAGGTGGTTCTGTGATAAGACAGTCTTTGAAGAAATGCTCTCATTCTCATGCAAGGCAGCTTGGGCAGAGTGTTTCCCATCCTGGGCGGAGACGACGTCTCCCACTGCACACTATCCGTCTCATCATTAAAGGCCCTTTGTTTCTTTGAAAACACGCATTCAGGCAGACCCTGGCCTCCCCCGTTTCAGAATTCTGGGTGACAAAGAGGGTGGCCTGCTGTTAAATTGGGTCTTTCTGCAGCTGTATGGAACATCAAGGGAAGGGACGTGAGAAGGAAGGGACTAGGTTCCTGGAAGCTGGCGTGAGTTCCCTGACGGAGGACAGCACCTCCTCCCTTTTCTAACCACAGCCAATCCAAGAATTGCAGAAACCATTCTCAGATGATCACCGCCTCAAAACTGGGTGTATGATTGCAGTTAAGGATGAAGTATATATGCAGAGTTGTTAACAGGTGTTTGGTCTGGGAGGTTATGGCTGATTTTTACTTTCTTCCTAGTGCATTTCTGCAATTTCTGAATTTTCTACCATGAATACATTACTCCTGTGATCAGAAAAACATAGTAATAATCAAAATAATAGTCCCTACATTATATAGCTCTTTACATTTTTCGGGTAACTTGCATATGTTATCTCATTTGATCCTTTTAGTAATCCTGGGATATAAGCTGAAGAGATTCCTTTAATGCCATTTTTTCAGATGAGAAAACCAAGCTCCAAGGGGTTAAGGAGCTTGCCCAAGGTCATGTGCCCAACCTCTGACTCCTTGTCCAGTGCTCTGTCCACTATACCTCACTGCTTTTCCTGGCGTGGTTGAACTGCCAGAACAGGGGTCACCCTCACCTTCAAATGTGGCAAGCACGCTTGAGCATTGTGCGGTGTCAGTTCCCTGGCCTCATGGCAACACACGTAAATCACCCAAGCCCATAGAAGTCTAGTCAAGGATGGATTGTAAAGTCTCTCCTGGGCAGCCCATAGTCAAGAAGATCTTCTTTATGTCTAGCTAGACACCATCTTAATTCATTTTCACATCAGTGAGACAAAGAGCAATTGCCCAGAGAAATCACGGGGTTCCAGACATAGCAAACAATGCCCCAGGGGTGCTCTTCTTTTATGGATACAGGCTCAAGTGACCCGGGCATGGGTGGGAGCCCTGGGCTGGAAATCTGAACACCTGGGAGCCTTTCTCTCTTTTCCATTGCCTTGTCTTGGGATCTCCAGCACATTCTTTGCTTTTCCTGAGCTTCCTGTCAAGTGAATTTACTAGTGCTTGGTCCTATAAATGTTTATAAGACGGCATTAGGTCTCCACATGCCATGACCTACACATCCCATTTCATCCCTTTTCCACTGACCACACTATGGGTAAAAATCAGCTCCTTGCATGTGATGGGACCATCAGACTCTGGCAGCCTTGCATGAATGAGGGTGATGTGGCGCCCAGCCCTAGGGATGGGCCACCTGTGTGGAATGAGTCTTCTGACCTCACCTGGTAATGCTGTCGTGTTTCCACAGTTCTCTCTAAAGACACTCCGGTGAGAAGACAGATGAAGCCAACGTCCTGTGAGCCACTTGGGGTTCCATGTCGCGGGATGGGCCTCCCCCGGAGAACATGTCTGACCTCACCATACTCAAGTTGTAATTCAGTTGACATACAGGCTCTGAATGGAGCATTTATTTATTGTAAATACGTGGTTTTCACAGGCTTTAAATCAATATTGTAGCTGACTTTTATTTGAGTCATTTAAAAAAAAAACCCATGCACACCATTTCAACATTTTTTAAAATGCATCTTGACATTCGTCTGTCAGTACAGATAGGAGAGCCCTGTCCCCACCCCATAGTGTCCATTCCATGACTGTAAATATGCGTGCGGGCTGGCCCTTCCTAGACTCTGAATGGTTTTTGAAAGAGCCCTTAGTTTGCAGGTAGTTCTCAAGTCATAGTATCCACGACAGCTTCTTATTGGCATGATTTTATATTCTCATCACACCAGTTGCAAAATCAAACCAAACAATGCCTTATAAATGACGCAGCTCAGAGAGAGTAGTGTGTCCCCACACCTAGACAATGCCACGCAGCCTCCAGTGAACGAGATGCCATGTCTCGCTTCCAGTTTGCAGTACAGGGATTTCTTTTGCTGCCTAATGTAAATATAACACAAAATACAGGCAAGAGCGGGCTTGGCCCCTCCAGTGCCGATCACAGGGCCCCTTTTGTAACTGAACGATCCTACAAGTAGTCAATACTGTGACTACTTACAGTGCCCCTTGTGCCCAAGTGTCCGTGACTTTTCTCCTGTCCCCTCCAAGCTCCCAGCCCCACCTGATAGCCAGGGTGAGGTGATGTGAGCTGTATGAGATTTCGGTATTTTCCCTACAAGTTAAAAACATACATAACTCATTATTATAGGAAATTACTAATTCTATCTCAGAGGTCTTTTTTCCCCCCCTAGTGCAGAATTTTTATGGAAAATATGACACAAAAAAGTGTAGACCTAAATGTATTATGAAATATCTGCTTCAAATACCTGGTGCCCAACCCCCACCGTTAGGAAACCTTAGCTCCCTTCTGAGAAGTGGTCCGACAGCTCCCCTTGCCTGTGGCGGGCACCTCCGTCCTGATCGGTCCCACCCCTGTGTATGGACCGGTCAGGACGGGCTCTGACTGCAGATCTCACCCTCTTCTTGAGCTGGCAAGGGGATAGAAGTGTGTTTTTGCTTGCTGCCTGATCCCAGATGCCCCCGTCCTTGGAGAGGAAGGCCGTGACAGAGGAAGGAGAGAAAATAGAAGGAAACAGACTGATCTCTGGTCTGTGCTCAAAATAGCTGCAGATTAAAGGAAATCGGGGAGGGAGAGGCAGGAGGAGCAATGAAAAGTAAGTTTCCTTTGAAACAACCCACTTGTGTGCTCACGTCTCAAGGGTATCATGCCCAGACCCAGCCATCCAAAAAAGGTGGATGGTTAGGACGGTTTTTGCAAATGTGACTGCAGACACCCAGCTGTCATCTGGAGTAAAGACTAAGGTAGTGGGTGGGTCTCCCACGTCACTGCTGTGCTTTCTCATTCCAGATGTCCCCTACTCTGGGGAATAAATCATGCCAAATCCTAACAGCTAAATCAGTGGAAAGAAGCTTTTGCAGGTCATCAGCTCTGGGCATAGCTGATTTGTTTTATTCATTCTAGAAGGTTTCAGAAAGGTCACAGTTTCTTTATTATAACAGTATCCACTCCACCTCCCTCCCAGTTGTATAAAATAATTATAGAGTTTTTAATTATCCTGATTAAGAAGGCCCTAGACAAAGGCAATTCCACCTTCAGAGTAGACTCCCTGCCCTGATGAGGTGTTTATACCTTCATGTTCTGTACCGCTGGGATAGAAATTAAAAATAAAACTATCCAAGGACAGAGAGAAGGAATGAGCAGAAACCAAAAATTACAATTAGGGAGAAATCTCAGGAATCTGGCATCACATCCCTCCTAGACCTATCACTGAATTCACGCCCTCTGAACTCCCGCTGGTGCACCGAGTTCCCTCTGGCAGGACAAAGGCTTAGCCCCTTGACCATGAACTCATGTGTAGAGCCATGTGAGTCACTGCGCCCCACATCCTGGCATATTCTCACTGACACTGCTGTCTGTGAGTTGCCCAGTGTGTCCCATGTATTTTATATTTATTGGTGTTCCCTCTGCAGATTCATTTCTTTGTACCTAATAAACTTTAATAAGTGGAAATGCTCTGGTCGTTTCCTTGTTCATGCCCATCAGTGTCCCCAGTACAGCCCACCATTTTTAAGGATTAGGAGGGGTTCTAAGATGACAGAGCAAAAAGTATATTGACACAGGACCCAGCACTTGCTGTTAGAATCGGGACCTTTCTTTTTGAGCTGACATTCCTGACTAAACAACCAAGTCATAGTTTAATCGTATGTTTCCTGGTTTTCATAGTTAACTAAACTAATGTGTATTTGGAAAGACTTTCTAAGTGCATTAAAAAAAAGTAGATAACACTATGTTTATTCAGTTTTATTAATATAAAATGGGCAGAGATTATTGCTTATAAATTCCTCTAACGTGTGTTAAAATGGAACAACTTTCAACCTAACGTGCGCTTAGCACTCCCCTCAACTTGGCAAACCCCTCAAAAAATCTCCACTATGGAGCAGTATCATCTCAGTCTCCATCACAGTCTTTTCAGGTGTACTCTTTGAAACATGGTACAAGGGAGATGAGGTTTACCTGCTGGGTAAACTGGCTCAGGGGCAAACATGGATCTGAATCTCTGTTTTGCCTGTTACAAGTTTGGGGAAATAAATTATTTAACCAGTCTGTGTCTCAGTTTCCTCATCTGTAAAAAGGAGACATAAATATGTCCCTAAGCCTATAGTGGAGAAGATTCAGTGACATAACACCTGGGCAAGCCCTTAACCCTCGGGTCACAACAGACCCAGGTATCAGCACGCCCCACCCTCTAGGATACCAGTTTGCCCATTACATGGTTAGTCACAAACAGAGCTCTTACTGGCTGCATCCCATTTAGACATTTCCTGGGCTGCTAAGACCACACTCCACTGGCTCTGCTGTTGGGTAACAAGGAGAGAGCGGTAATTAAAATTCATAGATGTTCCAGAAATAAATCTCATCTAGAAACTAATTTCAAAGTTAGCTGCTACACACTTTGCATCGAAATTAACAATCAATCAGTTAAGGCCCTGACTTGTTTTATTTGCTCTCTCCTTAAGGGAGGTACAGATAAACCCGTTAATGACCAACGGGGCCATTCTGATTGGAGAAGAAAAGCAGTGGCCCGGGATAATTGACAAAGTGGATGATGAACTTCAGAGCCATTGACTGTGGAGGGTGGTGAAGTAGCCATAATTTTGGGCACCTCGTATGGAGTTAAGGGTGGGAGAGGTGGTGCCTAGAGGGGTGAGGGGAGCAACTTAATGGGAAGGGCTCTGTACTCCAGAGGCGAGTTCCATGCCATAGGAGGCTTTCGCATCCTTCATGAACCTGTCCTGTTAGAAGCTGAGTTGTGTCCTCCAAAGATTCTTATGTTGAAGTCCTAACCCCAGTACCTCAGAATGTGACCTTATTTAGAAATAGGGTTGTTGTAGATGTAATTAGTTAGGATGAGGTCATACTGAAGTAGGGTGGACCCTCTAATCCAATATGACTGGTGTCCTTATAAAAGGGGGAAATTTGGACACAGACACACACACAGGGAAAAACGCCACGTGAAGATGAAGGCAGAGATTGGGGTGATGCTTCTACAGGCCAAGAAATGCCAAAGATTGCCAGCAAACCACCAGAAGCTAAGTGAGAGGCATGGAACAGATTCTTCCTCACAGCCCTCAGAAGGAACCAACCCTGTCAACACTTTGATCTTGGACTTCTAGCGTCCAGAACTCTGAGACAATAAATTTCTATTTAAGCCCCCCAGTTTGTGGTACTTTGTTGCAGCAGCCCTAGCAAACTCATACAGGCTCTGTCACCTTGGAGCTTTGCAAGACTGTATTATGCTGATGAAAAAAAGAGCTGGGAATAAACTGTAAAGAGTTAGCAGTTCCTTGTCATAGAAATGGGGCAGTCAGGTACTCTGACCTTGACATAGGTTGCTCGTTGCCAGTGACTAAGCCCTATTTTCATGAATAAGATATTCAGTTGCATTTTGCCTGTCATGGTGGAGACAGAATCATGGAAGCAGTCTGGCACTTCTAGGTCATAAGAGTGGAGAGAGCTGGCTTTTTTCTTAAGGGGCATCCTTTCCTCTCGTGGCGCTGCTATGGCTTTAAAATAAAGATGCTTGGCATAGATGCCGCCAGCCATTCCAGTGATCTAGACTTGGGTTTCTAGTATGGTTTTTGTTTTTGTTTATTGTGGTAAAATACACATAACACACATTTACCATCTTAACCATTTTTACATTTCAGTAGTGTTAAGTATATTCACATTGTTGTGCAACCAGTCTCCAGAACTCTTTTATCATCTTGCAAAACTTAAACGCTGTAGCCCTTAAAAAACAACTCCTCATTCCTCCTTCCCCCCAGTCCCTGACAACCACCATTCTACTTTCTGTCTCTGTGAGTTTGACTATTCGTGGTACCTCATATAAGTGGAATCATGCAGTATTTGTCTTTTTGAGACTGGCTTATTTCACTTAGTATAATGTCCACAGGGTTCGTCCATGTTGTAGCATATGTCAGAATTTCCTTCCATTTTAAGGCTGAATAATATTCCATTGTATGTATATATGACATTTTGCTTATCCATTTATCCATCAGTGGACAGTTGGGTTCCTTCCACCTTTTGGTTCTCATGAATAATGCTGCTATGAACACGGGTGTACACATCTCTTTGAGATCATGCTTTCAATTCTTTTGGGTGTATACTCAGAAGTAGAATTGCTGGATTATATGCTAATTCTATTTTTAATTTTTTGAGGAACCACCATACTGTTTTCCATACCAGCTGCACCATTTTACATCCCCACCAAGAGTGCACAAGGGTTCCAATTTCTCCACATCCTTACCAACACTTATTATTTTCTGTTGTTTTGGTAGTAGCATTCTGATGGGCGTGAGGTGGTATCTCATTGTGGTTTCATGTTTATTTTTAAAGAGTGGATTTATCCACAGAATGGTACAAAATGGAGGAAACTGCTGAACTGATTGAGTTTTCTGAAGATTCAAGTCAGAAAAATATATCCCCTTTCATACATTTTCTATGTTGTGACGCCCACATTTATTCATGAAACACAAGATATAAGAGGCCACTGGACATTAATTTCAGTATTTTTTTATTGTATGCTTGATGTATTTAGAGACAGTTCCAAGGGCAAGCACTGGATGGGGAAGTTATCTGGTTTGTAGATATTTGTACAAAAGGCTGTTAAGACTACACGGTCAGTTCCCACTGCAGGAAACAGAAAGATTTCCTTTTTTATTATTCCCTGACAATAGCAATTTCCAGCTCACACATTTAACTTCTCACGACATGATTGCAAACAGGTGCATACTCATTCCCACGAGAGATCTGCATGTGACATTTCAGGATGTTTGAAGTCAATCAGATAGAGTATATTTGACACAAACCATAGGAGAGGAGCTGGGACTTCGGGCCATGTGGAATGCAAAGCCACTGCTACAGGGAAGCACAGGGTAGTGCTGGGACAGCACATGCGTGTGACCTGCCACTCTCCCCATCCATACAAGAACGGCCAGCGAAGTGAGTTCCCCTGCCTCCTTCCTCCCTGTGCTCCCTTCCTAAAGCTGAGAGCTCAGCCGAAGACCTTCCCCATAACTGACTGCTCTTCAGTCAGCAATGCAGTGAGTGGTTTTGTAACGGACACACTGGTCCCACCTGGCTTCCCTGCTGAGCCAACCTGTGCGACACCTGTACCAAGGTGGGATGGCATCAGCTAGGGAGCAGAGTAGTTGGCCTGGTTGATAATTATTTTTTATACCTAATGATCCACCAATAGTGAAGAAACTTCACTGCTAATATCTAATAGGCATACAGCTGCTCTGTCAGACAGCTTGTAATAAAGACTCTTTCTAATAATAACACTGTGTCTTATGTTATTGGGCACTAAAGAATCACCATAATTCAAGTATGTCCTTATTCTACCTAAAGTTTCAAACCACCTCGGAGAATGAAAGAGGACTACTTCTGCTTTGCTGATTTACTTCCACTGGAGCCTCTGCCCCCTAGAGTATGAGGGCTGTCTTCATCTATGGTAATCCCATCCACTAGACAAGATCAACTAGCTTATGTTTGGTTATGGGGCGTGAGAGTGGGGGACAGATTCTGTCCTTTACGGCCATGACTTCTTTCTGCACAAAGCGCGCACAGGCTCCCAAGTCTTAATGGATACACAAATGATATTTTAGGAGGCTATTCACACACTGACCTTTAAACATCACTTTCATAGTTCATCTTGAATATTCATTTTCCTCATCTTCCCTTTAGAAAAGCAATCCCTGGTCAAGAAATCATCCACGTCATGAGAAGCACTTTTCAAAAGCAGAGTCGGTTAGGAGCATATAAAAAACAAACATCCCCCAACAACAGCCTTCTCAAAATCCAACAATATCTTTCAAGCTGTTAATAGAAGTAGATACAAGTCACTAGAAGTGAGTACAGCTCATCAGTAGAGTCTTTGCTCTCTTCTTGTCCTTCCCCACGTATCTCAATGCACAAGAATCTGTCCACTGCAATCATTTGGGTTTTGACTGTATAGACCACCTCTGGGCCTGAGGGAAGCATCCCAGCCCCGGGAACTTCTGCCAGGCAGTGCCACGGAGGGCTGGGATGTTGAGACGGGCATCACAATTGTGAGGTACAGCGTTAGCCAAGACAACTCTCAATTAGGGTTGGCCCCTCTCTGAGGTGCTGGACTGAGGTCAAGGTCCCCTAACAGAAGTAGCCATTGTGTTTCCCACTGCACAATGGCTGGGTAATGGCATAAAGCTGGCTGGGTTATCCGTGACCTTTGCCTAGCCCATAATAATGAAAGCAGGCCTCTGTAATTTCCTCTCACTAGACTTCAAACCCCAAATCACCTTGGGATTCTCAGACATGTCAGGTCTGATGAAATGTTTCCATAATAGGTGGAGGTGAGACCACGTGGCGAAATTTTAGAGTGGCTTTCTGTACCATCTTGTTCTAAATAACCACTCAGCAGGTGGACTCAGGAGGGGATGAGGTACCTATGTCATCCTGGGACCCTACCCTTCTCCCCTTGGCAGCTGTAGACAGATGCTCTCAGAATGGCTGCTCCGCCTAAGAGGAGACCCTAAGTTCAGCAACAGTAAAAACCCAGGCCAAACCTGGATGAAACTCTCAGCAACTAAAAGCTACCATGAATGGTTGCTGTTAACTTTGTCAGCTCAAATATTCTTCCATCTCTCACCACTTGTAGTTAGTGATTTTACATACAGAATTTACAAAACTGCTGGGCAAAAAGCTCACAGTGCTCTTATGCCCGCAACTGTCAAAGAGGACCTGGTAGGAAAAAAGATTTGTTCCAGTAAAACCTGTGACCCTCAGTGTCCACATCTGTGTATGGGGCCCAAGTCCCTTCCGGCTCTCATGGCCTATGATATGCGGCTACTGCGAAGGAGTCACTAATTCTAATTACTTCCAAGACTATTGACACTCACAGTGTTTCCATTTGCAAATTCCTATTGATGAAGCATGATTAGGCCCAAATGGTATGGGTAAGGCTAGAGTAATTAAGCTGCTGTTCTCCCACTAGCTACTATATTAACATACATTTCTATTAATCATGTCTGCCCCCTTTCCTTTTCAAGAGTGGCTGAGAGTCCCAATGGCTGGAAGTAAGCCCCCAGCCCCCGCCTGCCCACTTCAGCTACCAGTCTGAAGGCAGCTCCTGGGACATGCAGAGCATTAGGAATAAAGGGAAGGACCAGGGAAAGCCAGTTGCTTGCTACGCAGCTTTGTGGGATATAACAGGCTGGGCAGGAAGGGTAGGGGTTGGATTGCTACCTTGGAGTGAAACGCTTCTACAACCATCTGTCACCTTCTTGCCCTCTGACTTCCCAATGCTGAGCCCATCTGGTCTTCCTTGCATGCTTTTCTATGCTCTGGTGCTAAGTCAAATCCTTCACGCAAACACGACGTTGAAAACAAATCAGTTTAATTAAAGCCTCTGCTGAGATAATGTAGTGGATGCTCAGATTCCAGCTACTTTAACTGGAAACTAAACAGTCAAGAGTCTCTCCTGTTCTTTCCCTCATTAGCTGAGAGATTCGCAGCTTTGTGGGGTGGAACTATACCACAGGGCCATTTAATTAATCCTAAACTAGATGGCGGTCATCAGGCCCGGAATCATTTCCACACAAGGCCACATCCATGTGGGGCGTGTGCTGCTGTGCAGGGAGAGCTGCCTACCTTTTGGGAGATCCACGCAGTGATTCAGGGAAGTCACCGGCATGGCTGCCACTGAATCTCTAAAGTGGGCAGGTTCCAGCTAACACAGATGACTGACTCTCCTGCACGTGGGTCCACTGGACACAAGCACAGTGCACAGAAGATGGGTCTTTAAGGATCACGGGAATGGGGACGCAGCTGGGACTGGAGAGGAACCCCCTTTATTCCTTCCCATTGGTTTGTCTCTCAGAAGACACATCCAGAGACATTCTGCACTACACACGCTTCCAGTTAGAGGAGGCCGGGAAGCTTCTCCCTCAAGTACACACACAAGAGCCCTGAGCCAGACAAAGAAATGCCTTTTGTTAAAACCTGAAAGAAGCCATTACTGAGAAAAAGAGCAAGACTTCAAAAGATTTTGCTTTTCCCGCAAACTCAGCACTGTGGAGCCTGTCTTTCAAGGCCCGATGAACTCTAGTCCTCCCGTGAGAAAGCTAATGTGTCCATTGTCACTGAAATACAATAATAGCAGCTTAAAATCCACAGTTAGTCATACAATCTAATGACAGGCAAATGGGATACATGGACATTGCAAAAGAAGGGGCCTACACTGCAGAAGAAGGGGACATTTTGAGATTCAAGGAGGAACACAAGCTAACAGTGTGACTTTAACACATCTGAACTTGCTCATTTTACTCAAACAGGAGAGCGGTTTGTTTTGCTGGTAATTTAGTAAGGTGGGAAACTTTAAATAAGAAGGGGAAAGGGAATGCTTACTTCACTTAAAGAACTTAATCTCCGTGTCAACACAGTCATAGAAAAGATCCCCCACTTCGGTGGGGTCCAGGGGGCCAGAGCTGGTCAGGATTTCTTCCATGGCTTCCAGGCCTTGCTTCTCCAGTTCCAGCATGGTCTTCCTCAGCCTCCGACCTTGCTCCTGAGGAAGGGCAAAGACAGTGGGGGTCACTGCCACGGACACTGAAAGCCTCCGGGGGGGCGGGGCCCACCCACCGCAGTCAATCTGTTTCCCACATGACTGCCACGAGGATCGTTCTAGAATGCCAATGTGGTTATGTCACTGCTCGGCTTGGAATACTCACACAGCTCCCCGCCACCTTCAGCATAAAGTCCAGATTCCTGAGTGGCATTCAGGGAAGGCCCTTTGCAACACACGAGGGTCTTGCTTGCCTCACCTCCTGCCCTCCCCTGCGTCTCCTTTCTCTCCAGCCAGACTGAATTAACTGCATTCCTTCAAGCTGTGATACTCTTTCTCGCCACTGCACAGGAGCCCCCGCTCTCCCTCAACACTCGGTCCGCTTCAGCCCACCTTCAGGCCTCCTTGCACGCCTTTCCTCTGAACTCCCACAGCCCAATGCCTTTACTTCTGCCATGGCTGTTCTCTTCCTGTCTTGTAATGATGTGTCTACTTGCCTCTGTCCCCCATTAGACATGACCTCCTGGGGAGTGAGAACTGGGCTTAGCTCTCTCCTCCAATGCCTGGGACATAAGAAACTCCCAATAAATGTTTGTTGAATGAATAAATGGATCAATGAATAAACACATGCCATGTCTATCCCCGATTTACTTTTTTTCTGAGGTGGTGAGATCTCTTCTTGCAAGTGAGAATCACTCATTTATAGTAGATGACAGTGAAAAGCTTTCATTGGCCCAATTAGTCCCAGAAGGGAGAAGCTGCTGTCACCATCCATCCACCACTTCCTAAGGCTGCCTTGACTCAAACCAACGGTCATTTCTAAATTTCAAAGTCCACCCAACCTTGTCAGTCTCATCTCTTTCAAATTTTGTGTAGAATAGCTCAGAACATACAGCTGTTTCTACCTCTGGCTTTTAGTTCCAAATAGCCACAAAACCATGCACCACAGAGTGACATTTTTACTCGGCTTACTGTCATCCACCTAGAAGATATGCGCTGCCAGGAACTAATGTGGACAGCCCTGGACAAACGCAGTGCAGCGCAGCAGTAGCACTCATGGCTTCAGGGGCATGCTGGGCAGGGAGGACAGACGTGAAATAACTGCAACTTTTACATGTCAAGATGGTCATTTCTGTAGCACGGAAGAGCAAGGTCTATGAAAAGTGAGACTGCCCTTCTCAGACACACTTTCTAACTCTCTTGGATTTACTGCTGATGCTGCCCTTCTTTATATCCTTTTTACATAGTCTACCGTGCCGAATATAAGGAAGTAACTCCCCCAGTCCACACAAGGTGCATGCACCCGTTCATCCTTTCTTAGGACAAACTGGACCTGTTACAAGTTGCTAAATCAATGCTTGGGAAGCAGATGAGCATCTAACAGCCACGTTCCTTCCTCCTCCCTTCAGCAAAATAGAGGCTTGGATTTTACATGAAAGTCCATCTCTAATGGCTGCTCTGGGCACATCCTGGGTGCCTGTCTTGTTTGAACTGATGTCTTGTAACTTTATTTACCAAAGCTTTGGATAGAGGAGGGGAGTTGTACTTTGAAGAACCATTTTTTTTAACTAGAAACTTGAGAATCGTTTTTTAATTGTCATAAAATATACATAACATAAAATTTACCATTTTAACCATTTTTAATGTACAGTCCAGTGGCATTAAGTACATTCACACTGTTGTGCAACCACTGTCCATCTCCAGAACTGTTTTGAAGAATCACTTTCTTTTAAACAACCTATGATTGTATCTTTTTTTTTTTTAAGTTTTATTTATTTATTTATTTATTTAGTGTGTGTGTGTGAGGAAGATCAGCCCTGAGCTAACATCCATGCCAATCTTCCTCTTTTTGCTGAGGAAGACTGGCCCTGAGCTAACATCCGTGCCCATCTTCCTCCACTTTATATGGGACACCACCACAGCATGGCCTGACAAGCAGTGCGTGGGTGCGCGCCCGGGATCCAAACCCAGGCTGCCAGCAGCGGAGCTCTCGCACTTAACCGCTACGCCACGGTGCCAGCCCCTGACTGTATCTTTAAATAAAGTGTTGCCATCACATACAACTTTTAACCCCCAAAACTATACAAAGAATTTTAGACAGCGGAAAAGCAGTTATCCCAAACTAGAACTGCACATTTCTGTTATTTCTAGGTAAACATTAAGTGTAAGAGGGATATTCTTAGCCTACTGAGTTCTAGAATAACAGCAAAAGTGGAGGCTTTGTTGCATTTGGTTTCAAGAGACTGGGTGGAAAAATTAACACCGGCATTCTAGGAAGGGCCTTGGGAACCAGATGTCTGGGAGGAGACATGCTGGAGAGGAGGAACATGAGGAGCTTGTTAACCGCTTTCTGCCTCCTTTCTCGCCCACCTCGCTGCCCTCCACTGGCCCACACCCGGACTCACCTGGTCACTTTCAATGACAGTGCGTGCCCACTCGTGGGCCTTGTACAGCTCATGCCGGCGGTCTGGTTTCTCCTGGAACCGAGGCTGCTTTTTGGCAGGGTCATCGTCCCCAAAACAGGGAGACTGTGTTTTCGGGACAAGTTTTACATCATCGACAAAGATGAAAGGCTTGAATATGGACCTGGAGAGAAAGGAAAGGTGCTTCAGCCAGACGAAGCTTGGGGCCTGAGGATACCCAGAGACTGAACCTTCATTCAGCAAACATTTCCTGAGCCAACTTTGGTGGGTGATTGGTGGTGGGTGGGTGGTGGGTGGGCACATGCCAAGAGAGACACAACGGCATATTTCAGTAAATATTTTAGTAAAACGAATTGCCATTTATAAGCTGCAAATTCTTCTGTTTACAGCAAAGAGACATCAAAACAGACTTGCTTTGTTCTGGGAAGACCATTTGAGAGGCCCCTTTCAGTTATATAAAGTAAGGCAAATAGACACACAATGTTTTGAGAAAAGGGTGCAATGGGCCACCTATTTGAGTTGAAAGAGGTTTGCCTTTCTCTACCGTGGTTTGCTCGAAAGTAGCCTCCTGAAAGGTTCTGAGACCCCCATCTCCCTTTTTTTTTTTTAGGTTCTACCTTATTTGAAAGTTTTTGGAATATCTCTGATAGACTCAGGGAGGGGACAGATTAAGAAAGACAGATGACAAAAAAAGATCCCAGAGGCCCCAGAGAGGGCACACCACAGAGAAACAGAAGTCTGGTTGTGTGAGATAGCAGCTCTGGGCATAGTAGGTGGTGGCTAATGCAAGAACTCTTCGATTTAGCTCTTTTGGCACAATGGATTATATCTTAGTGAAAGTGACTGTGTGTGTGTGTGTGTACCTGTGCATTCCTGGGCACATGTCAACACACACACACACATAGCAAAAGAGCCATGTATCTAAAGAACTGCATCCTGGGATCTCAGGCCAACAGGGTGTGTGGTGACCACAGCTGACTGTAACACGAGGGAGACAGCCTTATTCTCCCCTTTCTGCACCCAGAAATAAACCACCGCTGGATCAAAGCAGCACTGCTGGCAGAGCACAGGCACCTCTGGACCCTCAGGGTGGCCTGTGTTCAGCCACGCCATGGGGCCCCACCCGCAATAACAATAGGAGAAAATAAGACATACACCCCCCACCCCCATGTGTATTGATCAGATTTTGGTTATTTTCTCTCCTCCTAACTGGTGCGCCTTGGCCCATTCCATGCCTGAAGTGGGCTAGAAGTGAGCTGGGATGTTGAGTCCCTCAGCCCCAGGATGTCTGGGCTTGAGGAAGCCACAGCAGCCTTGCCGGGGAGCCATAATCTGAAAGGAACTGGGAACCAGCCACCCTCGCTACCCAAATGGTGTGCTTGGACTGGAGGCATCAGCATCCCCCTCAGGCCCCACCCTCGTCCTTCTGAATCAGAATTTGCATGTTAACAAGGTCCCTGGGGACTCATGACACACCAAGTCTGAGGAGCACCACTAGAGACAACAGTGATAAGAAGTGACCTCTTAGGTTAGGCTATACCTAAGGTTATCAAAAGAAAGTAGGCTCATGAGGAAAGGAAGACCCTGATCACAGTATGCAAGACTGGTCTCAGGCTAATCTAATGTGAATATTAAGAGCAGTGAGTCCTTTGTGTCCCAATCTGGTGAAGTAGGTGGGACTGGTTAAGTGCCAGGCGCTGTGCTGTTCTCTGCAGGTGATGCAAACACACGCAGGAGACTGGGCCCATCCTCAGCCCCATCGGCATGCGGGTTAGGCCTAATTCCACCAGGCCAAGCCCTTGCAAGGACCTTCCCTCCCCAAGACAGAGGGGAGTGACCCTGTCCAGAGGGAGCACACACCAGCTTCCTACAGCCTTTTGAAACTAAATCATCCCTTCTCCCTTCTACTGAATGCTGAGTAGATGACTGTTGAAAGGGAAAGGAATTAAGGCAAAATATAAAAGTGTCTTAAAGCAACTTAGATTACATGACGTTGTATTCTCCAACTGGTCATTTGGTTGATTCTGCAGTTTGAGGGTTCACTGAAAGAGGGCAACAGAGGGGGAGGGGAAGGGGAAGAGGGAGAGGAAAAAGGAGAAGGACGGGGAGGGAAAAGGTTGGGGAGAGAGTCCAGTATAAAACATCCAGAACTAACTGCTCTGGGCCCCTCTGGTCTCTGACAACACAGCAGCCTCACAGCAGGCAAACATCCCATCCTTCAGGGCCTGATAGCACTCAGGGGGCCTGAGAAGTCAGTGCACAGCGTACTGTCCACAGCCTCCTTTGCTGGTGCAGAGACCCCCTGCCCTGCACCTCTTTTCTCTACCCCTCAAAAGCCTGTGTGTGAGTCATGTTTTCATGGGGAAATCTGTCATTTCATTTCTGGAACCTCAGGAGTTTACGTACTATGCATCTCAGAACCATTCTGACACACTGGCCCTGTGGGGGAGACCTGTGGCACTGGGAGCCACAAGGGCAACAGCCTGACAGCACACTCTGGGCTGAGCTGTGACCCTGGGCCTGCCTGCCTCACGACAGTGGAGGAAGGAAACTGGGGTGGGACTCCGAATGGGGGTGTACATCCCCTCTCTGCCTCTGACCAACTGTGGGGCCCATTGTTTCCCCCTCTGTCTCTCCTCTGGATTAAAGTGATCTCTACATCCTTCTAAACCTCTTGTGTTATTTCTATTTTACGTCATGCGGCCTGTGAACTTGTGACTCTGACTTCGAGAAGTTCATGCTAAGCATAGTCGCAGTCTTCTGCATCCCATATCCAGGATAATAGTATAGTAAAAAATCAGAACATTCTATTTGATGTAACTTCAAACCCACTCCACACTCACTGGAATGTGGAGGGTAGTTTAACATCAATAAGGGTGTCTGGTGGCTTTTCTAAGATAAGAGGTACCATATGTTTATCCCTCCCATCTGTCAGTTTTATTTGTAAAAATAAATAATAAATATGATGAGGTTCCCACCATAATATTCTAAAGCAGCCAAAGCTCTCCAAGGATTTTTTCCAGAGTCTATAAGGAAGTCAGCATCCTCAACTGGTAAAAACATCAAGCGTAGATTTGTCGGGCAATGAAAGGGAGATTTTTTTGAGATTGAATAAATAAAAATTACTGCTGAAGATAAATTGCAATAATACTAATATTTGTTTAAGCCAGAATGCAGGAATTCTCTATGATTCAGCCTTGATCATCTGTGTCTACGTATTCAGAAAAGGGGAATGTGGATAACTCAGTGGTTCCCAAACATTTTGATTTCTTGCCAATCCTTATAGAAAATCGCATTAAAAATCCAAAAAGGTAAGGAGATACGCTGAATTTTCCCACACTTGAACCTCAGACGGTAGCTTCTTAAATGCCACTTGAATGAATGTATGCCAATTTATGGCCCAGAGGGATGAAATGACTTGACCAAGGTCACATGTCCAGCTAGTGGCAAAGCTGAGACTGCCATCTGGAGTGTGACCACTCCTCCGAGCCCAGCCGGGGGGGGGGGGTGCCCACTTCCTCACGCATGCGGAGCACCCACAGAACATCTTGTGGGGGTTTCTGATGCGGGACACGGCTGAGAGGCCTCCAGAAAGCTGATTCTGCTCTGTCCCCGGGGCTGCCTCTCAGAGTGACCTTCAGAGATGTCACCTAACCTAGAATCACCCTGGTCACTCAGCCCCTCTATGGGGTGGTGTGACATGAACACAAGACGATAGGCCCAAAAGGGGAAAATGCAGCAGCAAAGGGCAGCCCAGAAGCTGCGTGAGAAGGAGGTTTAAAGGTGGCTGAGCTACTCCACAGGGACCCGCGTGAAGGACAATAACACAAAAGAGGTACAAGCAACACTAAAGGGAAGCACATTGCTGCAACCGTCAGCTCTCAGTGAGGCAAATCTAAGGTCTGAGACACACAGTCTGATGACACGCAGCACAGCACGGGCTTCCCAGCTGTCTCAGAGGTCTGCGGAATTTTAGCCTCGGGTGACACATGAAGCCACAGCCAAGAAACATGCTCCATGGTGGCATCTTTGCCTTTCTGTCCTTTTTTTCCTTCTAAAACCTTGTGATGGATACACCAAGCCAGTGTAAAAAATCTGTTTTCTTCTGATTTGTTTTCTCATTTGGAAGGAAAACAAAATTATCAAGAAAATCTCTAACATTTTATAGTGTATCATAATTTTCAAAGCACTTGCATTCAATTCTCATGGTACCCTATTCATTCATTCAGTAAATACGTGATTGAATGCTGACTGAGTACCAGATACTGTTCTAGGTACTAGGGATACAGTGGTGAACAAGGTGGGACAAAAACTGCTGTCCCATTTTACAGACGAAATGACTGAGGTTCACAGATGCTAAGTGCTTTGTCCAAAGGCACATTCCTCATAAGTGGCAGATCAAGAACTAAATTCAGATCTTCCAAAGCCAAGGTCAGTTTTTTCCCCCTACCTCTCACCGCCATATCCTTCTGTTAGTTTTTTTATACACAGTATGCTGTTGCAGAAAAATAAAATACGCTTTGTGCTTTGGGATTTGGAATTTTAACATCAGTGGCCAGCCAACACTTGTGACTTCAAACATGACTGTTCTTACTGAAGGTGCAGAAGCTCCCTGAGGGACTAAGCCAGGCTGATCCCGGGCCCTGGAGTCCCCGGCAGATCCACTGGGCGCAGTCTGGCACAGACAGGAACGGCACAAATGCTCCTGCTTGGATGAATCTCCTAAACTTTGAGCCAATCTGGAAAGAACCTAGAATGATCAGTTTCTCTCAATTGCAGGTGTCCTTCTAAATGGCTCATCTGAGGTCATGCCAGCTTTACTGCAAGTCACTTTAATCATAGAGTCACTTTAATCACAGGGTCAAAGCCACACCTGGCTGAGAGCAGAAGCTATCAGGTAGGGGCGTTTCCATTTAGAGGGAAAGACCACTAGTACTTTTGGAGCATGGGACACCCTTAGGCTGGATCCAGATACTCTGGGAGGTTTTGAAAAGTCAAAATTGAAGGGTAGGAGAGAGAAGAAAGATGGTGTCAGAAGAATTCAAAATTATATTGGAGGCGGGTGCTGTTTTGCGTAGGGCCCTCAGCTCTGTGTATGTCTGTGCAGGCTGTGCCCTGCACTGCTCCAGGGCCTGCATTTACGTAAACTATGGTGTCTAAGGCCCGTAATGTCATCTCCAGTAACAACAAGGTGCCACCTGTCGCTAACATCTAACCAGATGAGACAGTCTCAGTTGATCCAGTTTAGCCTCCCAAGCTTAGTACACTGGGAGGAGAAGAGGAGGAAACGAAACACACACACGTGCACACACACACAGGCCACGTCCCTTGCATCTCCCCAGATCCTTGCCACTAGTTACAGTAGGTCAAACACCCTATTTTCCTAGAACTTCCTCTCTATTTTCTGTTTCCTAGGCTGAAGTGCACAGCCCAACACAACTAAAGAAATGGGTTGGGAAATAGCCTTCTAATATTTAAAATGTAAAATTTTTAAATTCTCTTCCCCTCTTGCTTTATCCATCCTGTATCTTGAGTATCTGTGTGTTTTCTCAGCTGTGGGGGCCTCTCAGGGGTGTGCTGGTTTGACAACTATATCTCTAAAGACAATAAGCCCTGATTCATGGTGTGTGCTGATTTCTGTGGTGTAAATACACCCGCTGTGGCCCATTTCAAGCTACCAATGTGACGTCATTGAACACACGGTTGGGAAGAGAGGCACGTAATCAGCTCTCACCTACCTCTCTACTGTTTCCCTCTCCAGTTCTTCACATCAGTGAAGCTTTAGCAAGCACTGGCTTCCAACTGGGAAATGGTTTCCAAAGGTCAGAACTAGTGCACTAAGGCCAACCAGTGTCACTACATGGATGAGAGAGGCACCAGCTGACTCAACAGAACATTAATATGATGGAATTTTCCTTCCCAATAAAATTAATTAAAGGTCTTTTGCATCTCTCCCTCTCTCTCAAACTCTGACTTTTGCATCTCCTTCCAACTCTCAAACTTAGGTAGTACCCAGGACATATTAGGAAGGAGAGAGGAAAAAAGAGAGGGAAGGAGGAAGAGAAAAAGAGAATGTGAGAACAAGTTATTTCAAGAAAAGGATCGATAATTAATACAGTGAGCCAAGAACAGACGAGAGCTGAAGCAGAAAGAAGCACAGTCAGAACCTGTCCTTTGGAGTCTAGCAGGAACTGGGACAGATAAATAATACAGCCCTGCTCTTTGATCATTATCTTCTGCAAGTCCACTGCTCTGAAACTATTTCCTGAAAACATCTCTCTAATGTTTTTAGCATTAGCAGAAGCCGGCTAAAATTTCCCTAATTTTACTACCTAAAAATCCAAGAGTAGGGAATTATGCTTCTTGCTGACAAAATACAAAATGTTGAACATGCCCAATTACACGGAAACATTGAAATGTTGAATAGGAAAAAAAAAAATCTATGACAGTTCTACAGTCATAGTAGGAAATGTAGCTCATTTAACCACAGAAGATAAAAAGGAATGTCTTCCAGAAAGCCCTTAATCTGCTTTAAGGTCTTTCCAATTAATTTAACCATGAATCATTTTCTTATAAAATTACTTGAAATTTTCCATTTTAAATCTTAGAAGGCTATTTCCCAACCCATTTCTCTAATTGCATTAGGCCGTGCACTTCAGCTGAGGAAACAGATTCCTTTATATTAGTGTCCAGGCCTCACGAAGCCCTGTCTTCTAAGCATTGTTAGTACAGGTGTCTAAGACATCAGGGGAAAAGGAAGTCGGTATGGTCATTCTTCAGTTCAACCCACTCCTTCAAAGCCTCCCGTTCCTTAAAGAACAACATCCAAATACGTTGGCAGAGCATTCCAGACATTTCAAAGTAGGGCTCTAAATGCCCACATGTACCCCTGTGGGCCAGCAGCAAATGCTCACAAGAGACTGCTGAGCCACCAGTGTTGGGGGACAAGCTAGGGGAGAGTCCATAAGGGGAGGTCCAGACACCAGGGAGAGGAAGGATGTGCCCCAGACCTGGTGGACCAAAAAGTCAGTGGGAGAGGAGCACTGAACCAAGCATTCAGAAGCGGGAGATAAAATCATGAGAAAGCAGCTGGCCTCAAACAGGAGGCACGTCCTGAGAGGCTGCCTGGAACACTGCCGAGTGGTGAGGCTCACTGTCAGAGGCCAGCAGAGGTACCACACGAAGGTCCTGGGCTTGTTTAATGGAGGAGATGGAAACCTAATCTACAAGAGGATGCACAACTGCAACGGTGTGCTATGCTCTTTCATGCTTCTATGCCTTTGCACATGCTGTTCCCTCTACCCAGAATGTCATTCCTGCCTTTTGTACCTAACTCCTACTCTTCCCACAATGCCCAGCACTTAAGAGTTCCTTCCTCTGTGAAGTTTTCCTCATCCATCTCCTTTGTGCCACCTCGTACCTTGTACACACTTCGTTCCTAGTACCCAAGAAGTGCAATATTTGGCAGAGTGGGTGCTTAATAAGTGCTTGTTGAATGAATAAATGAGTGAATGAAATACTAAAAATAGCTTATACCAAATTTACTAGTCAGGTCCTGCTAGAAGGATCTATTGATATTGGCAGTAGTTTAAAATATGAGGCCCAACAAGCATATAAAGGCAGGGGCTAGGATTATCTCCATTGTACAATACAGAAATGGAAGCTTGAAGATGTTATTTACATATCTAGCTTCTAAGTGACAGAGGTGGAATTCAAAATCGTGGCAGTTTATTGTAGATGCTGCATTCTTTCGTGTGTGTGTGTGTGTGTGTGTGAGGAAGATTAGCCCTGAGCTAACATCCGATGCCAATCCTCCTCTTTTTTTGCTGAGGAAGATTGGCCCTGGGCTAACATCCGTGCCCATCTTCCTCTACTTTATATGGGATGCCACCACAGCATGGCCTGACAAGCCGTGCGTCAGTGTGCGCCTGGGATCTGAAGCTGCGAACCCCGGCACCGCCCAAGCGGTGTGCGCGCACTTAACTGCTATGCCACCGGGCTGGCCCCCTAGAGGCTGTGTTCTTAACCACTGTGTGATACTACATGGGCAGAAAGCAGCTCCCTAAAACATTCAATTGAATGAAAGAATTGAAAAATTCTTTCAATGTCTGAAAGAATTGGCCAGTGCACTTGAAGTTGCTTCAATCTGCATTGCCTCTGGGCCATTTTGTCCTCTAACCCATAGAAAGTGGTTGTTTCAATAAATCTTGGGAACCCCTGTAGGCTCCCTGTCTCTCTGTGTCTTGTTTATCTCTGCATTCCCCATATTTGGCACAAGGCCTGGCCCATGATATACACTCAATATATATTTGTTGAATTTAAAACAATTTGATACCATGATTTTGATGAATACTGTGTGACTAAAGCCCAGCACTTCCCTTAATCAAAGCTCTTTGTGCTGCCCTGGCCATGTTGAGGCCGACTGGAAAATGTGACTCGGCTGTGCAAGAGGAGGTGCAGAGACTTAGTGTAGGCTGGTTGGGTGAGCTCTCCAGGGAAGCACACACTTTCTGCCTATGTGACTGTGTCTCAGACGAACCTGGAAGGATCTGGGGTCCCGGTGAAGTAGTGAATGCACGGTGAGCTTCTATTCTGAGGCAGGACAGACACGACACTGGCTGTGGTGAGGAAAGACTCGGAGTCTACACAGACTCCACTGGCTTTGTCCCGTAAGATGTCAATCATAGTCTGCACAGTGACGCTTTCTGTAAAGAAAAAAAACAGAGAAGAGATAAAACTGTGGCAGGCTGCTAACCAAAATCCATTCACTCCTTTCCCTTTTTAGTAACAGAACCCCTTAAATTATAGCTGGGAACATAACTATACTACATTTACTATATTTCCCAGCTGCCCCTGTGGCTAGGTGGGGCCATGTGATAAATCCTGACCAATGGGAGGCGAGCAGAAATGATGTGTGCAACTTCCTTGTCACATCCATAAAAAGGAATGCTTGCCCTTCACTTTTTTTTTCTCCCTTCCTGCTAGCTGGGAGATGCCAGCAAGTGGACCACAAATGGAAGTCATGTGTTGAGGCAGAGTAACCCACCAGCCCTAGACGGTCCATATACATCTAACTATAACGTGGGAGAGAAATATATTTCCATTTTCTTTAAGCCACATTATTTCAGGGTCTCTTCAATACAGCACTTAGCAATACTTCAACCAGTGCAGTAACAATAGAACGATATTCATAAGAAAGTGTATGCAATCTACGCACAGTCCTCCAAGCAAGCTCTCCCATATACTCTTGCTAGTTAGTCAATACTACATTTTGAGAATATGACCTCTCTGCAGTGGGAAATGTACACACAGAGGGGTATTTAGAATATTCAGAGTCATTACGACTATTGGCTCTGACTTCAGATAAATCAATAAACAAATCTTTGACTACACAGGATCCCAGTTCTACATTTTCTCCCTCTGGTTGTAATTCACAAAAACACTGTTCTTTCAGCCCGTGTTCCCAAAGATGGAATCAAGGCATCACATAGAGAGAAGATACTGTAAAGTTCACTGGCACAACTCACATCCTCTTTGCAAATCTCTATTTACAACATGTCACATCTGAAAACATTAACAATAAGTCCTTGATTTCTTCCAACTATCCAGTGTCCACATTTTCTCATTGTCTCATAAATGAGTTTATTGATTTGAATCAGGATCCAATAGGTTGATAACATCTCTTGAATCTTTTCTAATCGCTGCCTCTCATTTTTCCTTCTTGAATTTTATTTGCTGGGCCATCTCTCTCATAGTTTTCCAGGGCTGGACTTTGCAGATGGCATCCCCATGGTGTTCTTTAATATGTTCCCCTATCCTTTGTATTTCCCGTAAACTAGCAGCTAGATCAGGAGGCTTCCTCAGATTTAGGTTTGATGTTTTGGCAGGACTACTTCATACATGGTATTGTACACTTTCATCAAGCTAGTTGTTTTTTTAATTAAAAACTTTTAGAGTTTTTTTTAGAGTTCCCATTTTTAAATGTATACTTTTTTATTTTTTGGTGAGGAGGATCAGCACTGAGCTAACATCTGCCAATCCTCCTCTTTTTGCTGAGGAAGACTGGCCCTGGGCTAACATCCGTGCCCATCTTCCTCCACTTTATATGGGATGCCGCCACAGCATGGCTTGACAAGCGGTGCGTTGGTGCGTTGGTGCGCGCCCAGGATCCGAACCCGTGAACCCCGGGCTGCCACAGCAGAGCGCGCGCACTTAACCACTTGTGCCACCGGGCCGGCCCCTAAATGTATACTTTCTTACCTTCTAACCAAAAATATATTAATTAAGTTCTACAGCAAAAGTCTTAAATGATCTTCTAGATTAAAGGTCAGAAAATTTTTTCTTAAAGAACCAGACAGTAAATATTTTAGGCTTACGGGCCATACAACCTCTGCAATACCTGTTGCAACTGCTTACTCTGCACTGTAGCAGGGAAACAGCCATAAACAATACATACATAAATGGATGTGGCTGTGTTCCAATAAAATTTTATTTACTAAACAGGCGGCCACTGACAGGTCATAGTTTGCTGACCTGTGTTCTAAATGATCAAAGGTTTGACTTAACAAAGCACGCATATCACTAGCAAATATAAAATGTAGCCACTGTGGTTTATTTGGAAGGGTTTCCACTCAGGCACAAAAGTAGCAAGCTACCCAGTCACCATATTTACCTAAATATGGATTCTGATTAAGTCAATAATTGGGTGGAAGACAGACGGATCGGGAGGAGAATTCAGTTCAACAATTAACTTAATAAATATTCATGGCACAAGGCATCACAAGGGGATCCTGAGATGACTAAAAGACAACACCCTGCCCTCAAGGCCCAGCAGGCTAATGGGAGAGGATATATAGGGAGAAGATAAGTCACATATACAAAGGTTGAGGCATAAGAAAGGCTGCAGTAAGTATCACAATGACATCAGTGTTTAAAGGAGAAACAGGAGCAGGAAAGTTCCATGAATGAGGAAGCATCATGTAAAAAAGAAATGCAAGTTGCCATCTTGCCTGCACGCTGGGGACTTCAGCACAAGCTGGTCTCCATATACAAGGTTTACTCTCCTCCTCTTCACTCACTCTCCGAAGTTCAGACAAGTTCACTGAAATAGCTCAAGACCAAGGGTATGAGAGGGAGAATTGTAAAGGATATACGAACTCACCTTCTTGCTTTTCTAAGCTGTCTTTGCCTGCACAGCAGTGTAGATGGTCATCAGCTAGAGAAAAAACTTCGGAAAAATTGAACTCGTCCTCTCCTGTCCACCAGCCTTGACTCTGGGCGTAACTCCTCAGTTCAGGGTGCTCTGCGTCAATCTTAGTGGTGAGTGAAAGCTGATTGCAAATGCACTTGACTCCCTCTGTGGAGAGTGCAGAGCCCAATTAGTAGGAAGTGTACTTATAAAGATTTAATCAAGCAATGAGGATTTACAGGGAATCTCTCCCCTGCAACTTGACTTAAACTTCAGGGAGGAATCAATTCCACTTGTGAAGAAAGAAACAGGGGATCCTTGGTCCTCTTTTGATGAGATCTCCTAGAATCGGGAAACAGTCCTGGCCAGGCATTATCACATTTTAAACGAACAACGGTCACTTGATCTTAAATTCACAATCAAAAGGAAACACGTGAGGGGCCAGCCCCGTGGCCTAGTGGTTAAGTTTGGCGCACTCCACTTTGGCAGTCCAGGTTCGGTTCCTGGACACGGACCTGCACCACTCGTGGCCATGCTGTGGTGGCAACCCACATACAAAATAGAGGAAGATGGGCACGGATGTTAGCTCAGGGTGAATCTTCCTCAGCGAAAAAAAAAAGAGAGAGAGAGAGAGAGAGACACGAGGCCCTTCATTCTGGCTAAATCAACCCCAAGCATTTACTACTTACAAGAAAAGTGAGAGGTTCTTTGAAAGAGGCACTGTGCTACTAACAAGACTCGCGAATGTTGCAACTACAGCGGTTCCTCCTCCCCAAGTTAGTCTTGCTCCACCTGAAGGAGCAATTTACACCACCACTCTCTGCCCAAATATATATATATATGGTTTTTAAAAAATACAAATATGATACTTCTTCATTCAACTTTTTTTTCAGGTCCCAACATTTAGAAAACCATAGTGACACCGATAATGAATTGCTTTAAAATAATGGAATGTACCTGGGAATATATGTGTGTCATGTGTGCCTATGAGAAAAATCTATGGGAATTCTTTTCTCATAGAAATATAGTAAGTATAGCTAAATAAATCCAGAATCAGAAATGCCTGCATTCTGAGTACACTCCACCTTGATGAATGAGGGTTAACCCAGAAATTCTCCTATCTGCTGGAGCCTTGCTATGGCTTCTCCAAAGCCTGAGCAGCACATATATGGAAGATGACTTGGCCTTCAAGCTTCGAGATGCTGCCAGAACACTAAGAATTTGTCACTTGTAGCTCAAAAGGGCCCTTTAGAGTTGCTGCTTCCAGGGAGCCTGTTGATCTTCTAAATTCCTGGAGAATGAAGTAGAGAGATAGAGCCCAAACTACAAGCTGCAATAAAGCCACTACTGCCTGAAAACCAGTTCCTACAGGCAGGGTCAGTGCTGCACTGAGTTCTTCTAGTATGTTCTGCTTCACTGATTTACACTTCCAAAATAAGCATTCCTGGCTGTTGGGCATTTGTACTTTCCATTCATCTTTTCAGAGGACACCACAAGAGTAAAATTATTTCTAAAAGTTTAAAATAAAAAGTAGCTTTGGCCTAACTAAGTGATTTTGACATTATTCATACTAAGATTTTTTTTAAATCTTGTGAACAACTCCACAGATGTTATTTTCCTAGAGGGCTGATTTATAATAGACATTTGCTTTCAAGAATTTTAGCATTCAGGGGCCAGAGTTCATTAAATCCTACTGCAATCACACTGCGGCTGGGATCAGAGGACATGAAATCAATGAGTCCAAGGAATGGCTGGGTTTGTTTGTTTGTTTGTTTTAAATATTTAGTGAAAGACAACATTCATTTTGAGGAGGTGGATATTTTAAGCTATATTTTGAAGGAAAGCTAAGCTTTTGAAATGTAGTTGTAGATCAAAAAGTTTTAAGTCATACTTAAAAGCATCACGACTGCTTTTCAGCATGCACCCCTAGCCCTCTTGGCAGAACAATTTGATAGTAAGACTTCGTCTTGGGAGAGTTTTTTAATAAAGGAGTTTTAAGCTCCTGCATGGCGGGAAGCTTGGAGACCTGGCAGGCCCACTGGCTGCAGTAGTTCTGTACCTTCTGTAGGAGCAGGGCAGGCAGGCACAAGTGGGCATACGCTGGGCATACACGCATGGAGAGACTCTGAGATTGCTTCGAGGGTACCGCCAGCCCATTCCGCACCCTTGCTAGAATGAGAAGAAGCCGCCCCTCCTCCAGGCAGACACAGCCTCTGCACAGCTTAGTCAAGAAACCAGGGCTAGATAGATTCCATAGCCTCAGTGGGGCGGCCTTGTGCAGGATACAACATGCCCATTGTCCACAGCAACCCTCATCACTGGACTGAGTCAGGCCATGGGAAACAACGGGCTTGATTCCCCCAACTACTGCAGTAGATCTGCTTCTAACTCAGGTCAGGTTTGGTTCCGGTCACCCTGAAGGCTAAGATGGCAAACAGGTTTCATCCCTAACATCATTTCTGAGGAACTGGAAGAGACTTCCTGGCAAATTCAGTTGATAAAAATACGTAGGCCAAGTATAGGTTCATCAAGAGAAGAGCATTGTGATCTAGTAGCCATGTCTGCCATGGGCACGAGAGGAGAATGGCAGCACACATTCCATGTATTTGTCAGCCAGTCCTACGGAATATAAGAGGGGCTTCTTTTTTTTTTTTTTTTGTGAGGAAGATCAGCCCTGAGCTAACATCCATGCTAATCCTCCTCTTTTTGCTGAGGAAGACTGGCTCTGAGCTAACATCTGTTGCCAATCCTCCTCTTTTTTTTTTTTTTTAATCCCCAAAGCCCCAGTAGATAGCTGTATGTCATAGTTGCACATCCTTCTAGTTGCTGTATGTGGGATGCGGCCTCAGCATGGCCGGACAAGCAGTGCGTCAGTGCGCACCTGGGATCCGAACCCGGGCCGCCAGCAGCGGAGCGCGCGCACTTAACTGCTAAGCCACGGGGCCGGCCCAAGAGGGGCTTCTTAAAAGCCAATTGTTAGAATTGGCCAATTCTTAGAATTCCTTAGTCCTCCTGGAAGCCGTTTAACCCATTGTGGGATCCCATCCTGTCCAGAGTATGAGGGTGCTGAGGCGATGATACAAGACAGCCACTCCCATTCCTAATACTTCTTTCCCCAGAACTGTCTTAGAATAAGATGCTGCAGGGAGCGTACAACAGCAATTTACTGGGCACTAATCCTTCTGGGTGGATTCCCTAGCCCTTTGCTCTTCTATGAACACTGTCTCACAGAGACATGGGCTTGTTGGCCCAGAGGCACTCAATGGTCCTCACACAGATCCAAATTTCGCTTTTAGAGGAACAGTCCAAGCACAAAGGGCTACAGGGCTGGGGTGACCAGGAGCAGCTCTTGTTGTAGTAATTCGTTGACCTATCATGAACGGAACGAGTAAACCACCATTCCCTGGGCCAATTAATAGAGTAACAATTTGGATCATGGAATTGGTAAGAGTGTGAATTGGGTCCTGCCCAGAAAGCATACAAAAAGTATGAAACGTTAGGAGTGTGCTTCCCAAGTCTTGACATCCCTTTGCTCCAGGTTCAGGAGACTTGAGATTCCTGAAGCAGAAGCCCAGAAATGAGAGGCATGCCAAAGCCTGAAGATCCAGCACAGAGAGGGTCTGCCGCAGCAGCGTGATTCCTCCAGTCTGCACTGCAGGTCCAGGCGACACCCATCTCAGCCGTTCCTGTCCTCAAAGCACTTCCCCATCCACATCCACTCACCTGTGATCTTCTCGGCAGCCCAGTACTTCCCTATGGTCTCAAGCACCCAGGCCTCCTCACGATCCACAATCAGATACGCACTTTGGAAGCTGTGGCAGGAGTCTGCATCTTCATAATAATTCCCACCTTGTCCGTGTTCTTCCAACAAGGCGACGATGACATCTAAGGCTTCTTTAGCTGTTGTCCCTCTTTCTAAACCAAGCCTGAAGTAAGGAAACCAGAAGTATACCTCAGTCATTTCATACTAGGTGATTATTACCTCAGTAATCAAAGAGTGGGACACGGCTGAGTTATGAAGCAAGCCAGCATGTGTAATATGTTAAATGTGCAGGCCAATACGCAAACAGATTAACAGCACCTTAACTCAGAATACAACTCTCACACATTCGGTTCAAAATCCTGGGGTCTTTTCTGTCTTCAGACATGCCCCTCCCACACAGACAGGAGAGTCGGGAACCCAGCAGCTTCTCTTCTTGAAAGGAAGCTCAGCCAGCTTTCTCTTTTCTAACTCTGCCTCCCATGGAGCTGGCCAGTTCAGCTCTAGCCCTTGGCACTACCCGCTTTCTGTGACTTGTTCTCCCTCCTGCCTGTAGCCTCCTGCCTCTGGCCAAAAGGAAGTCCCTGCCCAGTCCAGCCTTGATCTCTATTATTCCTCACCAGGTATTTTGGTCAGTAATAAAAGTGTTCCATAGCCAGCCATTGTCCTCGGTGCACATAACTTACTCAGAGATCTCAGGAGGAACGGGCGGCTGGCTAGGACATGATCAATCCTTTTTCTACATATTTCTCCTCCTGCCTATCCGCCTATCTCTACTGGTGTGGCTTACAGCTCAGTTATCAAAAAGTCCATATTTCTCTTGAAGTGAAAAAGCATCCTCCTCTGGGCCCTTCCAATCAATAGTCCTCTTAAAGAGGGCACGGATGCTGCCCTCTGTGTGACCCTGAGCAAGTTACATAAGATATTTGAACTTCAGTTTTATGTCTATAAAATAAGTACCTACATCATTGGGTTGCCGTGAGCATGGGTTTTATGAGATAAAGAACATGAACAGTACTTAGCGCTAGTACCCAGGACCAGGTAAGTGACTAGTAGGTTTTGAAACGTAGCAGACCCTGTCAGAAAACGAATGACTCAGAGATAAAGGGATCTAGCTTCTAGTTCTCGTTCTGTTACCCACTGGCAGGATGATCTTAAGCAATGTAACTTTTCCAAACCTTGATTTTCTCATCTGTAAAGTGAAAACAGTAGTACTTCCCTCTCAGGCTGACTGGAAAGAGGATGGCACTTGATATGTACTCAGTAAATGTCCATTCACTCATCTCTTCATCCCAATTATAATTCTGGTGGCAGGAACATAAGAGTCTTAGAACAGAGGCAATGGAGCCTGCTGAGATGGTAGCATAGATCAGTTACTGGTGAATTTTCAACTTGAGAAGCAATCGTTATTAAAATTCACCCAGCTTGATTCTTCCTGAAGGGACATTTCACTGTGCTGCCAGGGAGAAGAAAAGATAATAGAACTACATGCTATGGACTTATTCTTGTAATAGGCTTATTTTCTTAGATAATTATATATCAATTCATTTGGCATTTCTCGATTTAAGCTTATTTAGGTAGACTTGGTGACAAGGCAATGATTCATGAAGCTGAATCCTAAGATTAAAGAATAAACTCATTAGAAGATTGAATTAAGTAGACTTCTCTGTTGGTCGGTGCCATCTTCTCTAAAGAGGAGTAGCAGAGGCAAGGACTCATCTTATCTTGAGGACCCAGAGCAAAGAGGCATGCCATGACCCAGAGCTTGCACCCAGGAGGGCCCCCTTCCTTCTTCCCACAGGTCCCCAGTGGCCCCTGCTCACACTGCCTCATGTACCTTTCCCAGCAGAACCCTGTCCCCAGGGCCTGTGCAGGGCCCCAACTTGCCCATGCAAACATGTGCTAGGAGCATGTGAATACCTAACCAGGGGCAACAGCCCCCGCTCTGGAAGCTCTGACTTCTCTTTTGCAGTTTCTAACTCACTCTCCTGATGTTCTGCCTGCTTGCGTTGCACACTGAGACTCCCAATACTTGCACTTGCCCTCCCACACTGACTTTGGTGCCTCCTGTGCACAGTGTCTGCAGCAAGACCTCACCACTCGTCCACAGAACAATTCTGATTTCACCCTCCTGCCCCTCATGCCAGGACCACGGGAAAGAGACAGGCCTTTGTCCACTTGACCATTCCCACCTGGACCCCCTGCCATGGGACGAGGACAGGACACATGCTCCACAGCACCAGGGCCATGAATGACAGCAGGGTTACACACTCTCCACCCGAGACTGAGATGTGCAAATGTCCCAGGGCTATGGTGGTCCAGGGCCACAAGTCACACAACATCAAGAGGCCTATTTTAAAGCCTTTCACAATGGTCTCACCTCATAGATGGGGCAGATTCGTGTGATTCAAAATGAGAACAGCACCTTTCTGGGCCCAACACTAATTTCACTTTGCTTGCTACGCCTCATTATGGACATGACCAGGGCAGGAAAAGGAATGAAATTAACTGGGCCAAGGATAGAGTCTCACTCTGACATCTACCTTCAGTGCAATTCAAATCCTTCCAAAGTGTGTGCTTGGTCCAGGTTTTTCTGGGTCTTGGAGTTAGATGCTCCCAAGTTCAAATCCTTGTTTTACAGGAAATCTTTGGGAAAATCCCTATTTGGGGCCCATGACTTTCTCACAGGTATGTCAAGCTCACTGGGCCCATCCCTGATAGGTCAACGCATCTCACTAAGGAAGATGAGTAATGTCTGCATTTCCCCTGCTTAAAGCCCCTGTGTTTAGGAACTCGGCTTGCTCATCTTTTAGATATCTATACCTCCACGGACTATGGAAACCCCTGTCCCCTCGTATACAATTAAGGTAAAACTATGCTGTGACTAGATTTACCATGGATATATAATCACTGTCATGGGGAAAGTAATGAAAATAGTCACTACTCTTCCCCTTATAGGGCTGGACCTCGTGTTCCTATAGGGACGCAGATGCAAATAATCTTCCCCCGTCCCACAATCAAGGAGTCTGTAAGGTCCTTCTGGCTTCATGACCTTTTAGACATCAGAAGATTCCCAGTCTTCAGCCAGAGGGCTGGAAGCAGGAAGGAAATAAGTGGACGTTAAGGGCAGCATTGATTTGGGGGAAGGGTGTGTAAAACCTTTGAATAATCTCCATCTCTTGGTGTCCAGAGCTTCCTGTCTCATGGAGAGGAGAAGTAACCTGTGATCTAGTACAGAGAGGATTGGCCTGCCTGAGGTTAGCAGGCCCTGGTACAGCTGGCTCTCTGCCACCTTCCAGCTCGGAAGCCTTGGGCAAGTCCCTTCACCTCCCTAAGTTCCAGTTTTCTCATCCACCAAATGGAAGTGAACAGACCTACTTCACTGGGTTGTTGTCAGAGTTAAAAGAAATATTATATGCAAAGCACAGCATACAATGGTGTTCAGCAAATGGTAACTCTAATGACACAAGTTCTTCCCTCCTATGGACACTGACTGGGCCCCCTTTCAAGTCACCTGTGAGTCCTCACATTCACCAGCAACCTAAAGACAACCCTCAGACCTTTCTAAAGGACTCTCCAAGGACATCTGTGTTTATTTACATGCTGAGGGTCTGATGATAAGTGTCCAGAATCATAAGATGCTCTGAAATATTGCGACTGACTGGGCTTTAGTGCCAAAGTTAAACACAAATGGGAGCAGCAAAAGTCAGTCTGTAGAAAGAAAAAAAAAAAGAAGAAACCAGTTACGCAAAGGGAAGAAGATGTGTGAAACACGGAAAGAAGGCAGTGCCGTGCTGGAGCCGGCTGACGCCAGCTCGGAGCAGATGGCTACATGTTAGGAATGTCAAGCCAGCTGCTGAACCACTGGTAGCTTGAAATCAGTCACTGTGGGAGTATTTACACCATGGAAATTGGAAAAGGCTACAAATCAGGGCTGCCCCCCACACACACACACACAAATCTGGTTATTAAACATTTACCAGCATACCACTGACAAATGAGTTCTAACAGTTTTCTAGTTCTCATCCATGTTGAGGCCCAGATGCATTATCATGAGAGACAGACCTTGGATTGTAAGATAACCCTGACCTCCAGAAAATAAATGCCTATTTTCTGTGCTAGCTCCAGTCAGCTACTTGTTACTTGGAACCAACCTCCAGAAATACGCAAAAATGTGTAAATCTGTTTATGTGCCTTTTCCGGGAAGAAAGGGACTAGTTGTCAGATTCTCACAGAGATCAGTGCGTCAAATGACAGACAAAGCTTGGCTTTTGGCATAAACATCACTGAAAATGAATTATTTTTAAAAAAACAGTATTGCCTAATGCTTGCATTCCCACAGCAAGCCCCTAAGAAACACAGACAAATTATACTTTTATGCTTAAGTCAGTACGTGTTAAATTGCTATTGACATTCACTTACATCTCTTTGAACTGAGGTTGATTTGATATGCTACTGGAAAGCACAAAGGATCAGAATCCATATGGGGGAAGCCACTGTATTTTTTGAATAATCAACTGCACATCAAGCAGGTACTTGAAATAGACTGTAAAATGCAAACAGCCTTGTCTCCTGGGAGCTGTCCAGAGCACACAGTACAAGCAAGAACAGAGGAAGTACTGGTCCCTCGGGCAGCAATATGTAGGGAAATACTGGGTCTAAATTCAGAGAACACAACTGACCGATTTAAAGTTTCCTCTAGAGCAGAGGTTCTCAACCTCTAGTGAGCATCAGAATCACCCAGAAGGTGTGTTCACAGATTGCTGGCCCCACTCCCAGAGTTTCTGATTCAGCAGGTCTGGGGTGGGGACCCAGAATTTACATTTCTAAGTTCCCATGTGATGCTGGGGCTGCTGCTTCACCAACTGCACTTTGAGAACCGCTGATCTAGAAGCTTGCCATTCAAACAGTGCTTTGTGGATCCACAGCATCAACATGGCCTGGGAGCTTCTTAGAAATTGATATAGGAGGGCTTCTGGCTCACGGGTCACTTTTAGGATTGGGCTGGTATGAAACGGCCCCTGAGTATCTGACTGTGCTTGGCTGAATGGATCATACCCTGGGTAATGCTCTCAGCCTGCACTCATAAAGAGCCACTCAAGGTGCAGACACCTGCGGCAGAGGCCTCTTCACATCCCTTTTTATTGCAATAGCTGGACATGGCTAGCCAAGGGAGGAGTTAAAATTAAATGGCTAAGGGTAAAGTCACCCTGTCATCTACTCCTGACATTTGTGACTGTCCCAGACCTCGGTGACTATCACAACCCCAATTATGTGCCAAGGATATCTTCTCTGTCTACATCCCTCAGCCTTGTAGATCCAGGTCAAATGCACCTCCTTCTCGAAGCATTCTCAAATGTGTGCGGTCCCTGATAACCTCTGAACATCCAGCTGTGTCTGCTGAGGGCTATACCCTGGAATTCTGTGCCATTCAAGTGGCACAGGTAAATATCAGATTGCCTTGAGACACATCTCTCCTACTGTCATCTTAATTTGATCTTAAAATCTTGCATTACTCAATTTTCTGTCTTCTCCCTATAACTAGACTAAACTCTCTCTGAAGCTTTTGAGCTTCTTCACGTGCCCAGAGTCTAGCACAAAGCAGAAATTCAGTAAACCCCTCTTGCTTTATAGGTTGATAATCTTGAAACGATATTTCAGAAGCTTTGTAGAAAGAAAAAAACATTCTCTCTGTCATCCCTTAGAAACCAACTGTTAAAATGGTGATCTTTGCCAGTTCTTTAAATCTCATACCACAAATATAATGATAACTCAAAATGTAAGGTCATAAAAGGGGCATGTTTTTCATTGTTAACTCTTCATTTTCAGAATTTCTATTAAGCGTGGAGGTAAAAATACTGGGACAGCTGTCAAAACATAAGCTCAAAACTTGTTATTCTATACATTTAATTCTGTTAATCAAGACAAAACTGATTGTAAATATGAGGCTTTTTCTTCCTGTTCCCCAGCTCAGGGAACCTGCTCCTCTAAGTTTTTAAGAACCAGAAATAGTAAGGAAGGCATAAAGGCAATATGCTACCAAAAGGGTGTCGCTAACAGACCTGTTCATCGGTTGGCAGAAGTTACGGCCAGAGAGGTCTCTGTGTCAATGTGCAATCTCTCCCGACAAAACCTACAAAGTGTCAAAACCTCTATTCCTTTTTATAGGATGTTAGCTTTGGGAGGTTATTTTGAGGTCATCCCATCTAGGCCTCACATTGGACAAGTGAGGGAACTGTGGCCCAGAGAGGTGATGTAACTTGATGTATACACACTGAAAACCAAGGCTGCGGCTCCCAGCCTAATCTGCTTTCAGCTATGTCATGTTTCTATCGTACTTCCCTACTTCAGAAAAAGAAAGCCATTTCAGAATGTTGTTTCATTCCAGCCCATCCTCTACTTCAGTCATTCATTCCAAACTCAGTCACTGATCTCCATTATGTGCCAGGCACACAGTTCCTGGTGACACAGTAGTGAACAAGCAGACACAGATCCCTGTCCATCCAGTTTACATGTCCACTCCCTTCTCTTACATGGTGGCTGGAAGAGGAGCAAAAGGAAGAAACGACGACTGAGACATGGAGGGCAAAAGAGGAAGTGATCTCTGTTCTTTTTTCCTGTATATTTTATCTATTTTTTATATATTCTTTTTTTTATATACTATTAGATAGATTTCAAAGACCATAAAATTCACCCATTTAAAAACATAGTTCAGTAGTTTTTAGTACATCACAAAGTTGTGCAACTATCACCACAATCTAAGTTTAGAACATTTTCAACACCCCAAAAAGAAGCCCTGTAATCCATTAGGAATCCTTCCCCATTCCCCCATCCTAACCCCAGGCAACCACTAAACTACTTTCTGCTCCTATGGATTTGCCTATTCTGGATATTTCACATAAATGGAATCATATAATATGTGACCTTTTGTGTCTAACTTCTTTCACTTAGTATAATGTTTTCAAGATTCATCATGTTTTGTAGCATGTATCAGTACCTGACTACTTTTTATTGCTAAATAATCTTCCATTATAATCTATTCTTTTTTTCATCACCTCAAAGTTTATGTAACACAGACACGTCTTCTTTGGGAGGATTCTGTTACAAAATATGAGGTTTTAAGGGAGATAAATCCTGTCCCCATCCCCCACGTGTTCTGGGCAGTTGTTTAAAGAATCACCGTCCAGTACCTGACCAGATCCATCCCCAGTAAGGCTTCTGTCTCAGCGGCTGGTTCTCGGGTATTGATGGCTTCGTTGGCTATGCACACTCCGTGTTCGTTGGCTCCCATTTCTGCCCCCCAAAGCCAGGCAGGTCTGCTTATCACAATGGCGTGCGTCCTGGGAACTTGATCGATTGAAATGTAAGTGCACTAAAAAATGAAGACAGGAAAGAAAGGGCCATCATCTGTCAGGTACCACTTAGTTTTCACCTTGGTACTTACACTGAACCCACATATCAGTTACAAACAGGACCAAAATATAAAAGGCCTTGGGAACACCTAGACTTAAAAGACACCCCAAGTCTCAACGCAGCTCAAAGGTCTCCATAGTGAGTTTCAATCTTGCCACTCACTCAGTTTTCAGTCTCTTTGGTTCAAGCCAATCTGTCCTTAATGCTTACATCTATAGTGGTCATCCTGAACTGGGTGTGTAGCCAGTCTCTGCCCTGAACATTCTGTGTCCAGTCATTTCAATAGGCACAGAGGGCTACCAACATGTCAAACAGACATAGCTATTTATTCTAATTTGCAGAAATCCTTGTAGATCAGTGGTTTTCAAACTTTTTTAAAGTTATAGAGCTCTATCTATAAAAGAAACTTTACCTAGAAGCCTAACAGAGAAAGCAGATAAAAGGGAAGATGCTTTGTCTGAAGAAGGGAGGTCACCAAGCCTCCTGCAATGATTCCTGGGGCTCCCTGGAACACAGTTTGACAACCTACCTGATTGCTCTAGTGGTAAAAAAGAGAAAATGATAATAATACTTTACATTTAACAAATGCATTAAATGCATACTCTCTTATCCATTGTGCTTCCCCCTCTGTCCCATTTGATTCTCACACTAAGTCCATGAGGTGGACACACAAGGAAACAGTCCCAGAGCTCTAACTGCTGTCAGAACTACAGTTCACACCACTTACAGTTGCATGTCCTACCTTCTCTAGGCTGCTGTGTCTTTACCTGGAAAATGAGCGAGCTAATCTAGATCAAACTGTTTCTTTCAAAGTATTTTTAGCCTCAGAGCCCTTCCTTTCTACAAACTCTTACAGGGAAGCAGCAAGACAATAAAGCTGGTCACAGCGTGTTGAAGCAAATGGAAGAAGAGGCGTGGGACCGGGGTTGGGTAACAGCCTTACCTGCTGGCTCTTCCTTTTCTCTCCCCACTCTGGGCCCATGGGAGGACTCCACTGGAGCTGCTGGAAAACCACTCACCTAGCTGATCCGTAAGGGGCCTCCCGGCTCTGACATTCTATGGGCCTACAACACTCTCTGTGCGGTGCATGCACTGTGGAATTCAGGGCTCTAAATTATACAGAGCTCTTTCGCTCTCAAGGGAGGATTTTATCAGCTGCAGCATCCATTTACATTTTAAATTGGGCAGCTGAAAGCACTGAATCAACTGTAGTCTTAGATGTTTTTTTGATTCAAGACCCAGTTATATCAACTGAATGCAGCCCGGAAAGTTATCCCACATCGATTTCCCATAATCTCTAACCCTCAGGTAAGAGCTAAAATGCATGTAGCATGCACTCACTGGTCAGCTGACATCCGTATCTTCCCAATTCATATTAGGTATTGCTTTGCCCTGGGATAATGTTATTTCACCTGATAAATATTTGTAAACTGAAAGCTAATTAAATCCAGAGGTTGTCAAGAGACTCTTGAGTTTTTCAAGGCAAACTGATAATAAAATATATGCTTGAAATGTTTTCCCTATTCAGTTCCCCAAAGTTATTTACTTTAAAAAATGATTATTTTAGAGCAAAAACCCTGCCAAAGCAGTGAACAATTAAACTATGGTCCTCTGCGCTCTTCTAAATGTAATTGAAATTTATATCTTAAAATTGTACTCTCTCATGTAAAAAGTAGTCTGGCATTGACCAACACTTTCCAAAACCCATGTACCCACCGAGCTCCGGTGACAAATACTGTCTTGAAAAGAATGAGTAAACAGGGAAGGAATCGCAGATTCTTAAGCATAGATTTATCATAAAGTTGGTTTTTTTTTAAGGCAGGAAAAAAGTAAAAATAGGAAATGGGTTTACTTATTGTCCTCAAATTCATTTGTACATATTCATTTCCACTTCACCAATTATTTATAGAGCAGCAACCACACACAAGGCATTTTGTGCTAAATACTGCTGCCAGATAAATCAATGAGGATGCCTAATCCCTGTCCTTTTGTTCGGGAAGGAAGGAGAAGGCATACACACAAATTACTAAGACGACCTGGCCATCTTAGTAAGTGTCACTGAGGCCTGTCAACCTAATGGACACTGCATCTTGCCTCCCCTCCTCCCTCATACTTCTGATCAACCCCATCCTGCTCTTTTTCTTTTTCCCATTCCATTCCATTTATCTCCTTCCAAAATACTTTATAATTGACTTATGTATTGCTCTCTCCCCAACAAGAACATAAGCTCTGTGAGGGCAGGGAGATATTTTGGTTGTTTAGTTCACTGATATATCTCAAGTCTGGTACATACTAGGCATCAATAAACCTTTTTTTGGGATGAATTATTGGATGAATGAATGAATGAATGAATGAAAAACAAAGGTCAGAGGGAGCATCACAGAGGTTCAGAGGAAAAGAGGGAACACATGCAAGTGGCCAGAGGCTTTATCAAGTGGGTGACATTGGAGTTAATCTTGAAAAATGCGCCAGACATCAAGGTAACTTCCAGACAGAGGTGAGAGCCTGAGAACAGAGAGAGATGGGGATGTCGAAGGCGTGTTCATGGTCCAGGGAGGTCCCCCACTGTGCCACTTAGGGGGGCTACTGTAAAGGCACTGAGTCACACAACGGCTAGAGCTCAGTAAGGACTGACTCAAGAAAATACTGAACAGTGAATCAAAAAGACCATATGGTCTTTGTGGGAGTTCAAAATATACGCAGCCAACCTGACACTTTTCAGGCCAAATTCAGAATGAGGAGGAAGGAAGGAGATCCCCATGGAGCCAGATGGGCCAAATCAGCCCCTCCTAAGCACCACGCTTTGAGGCACCAGATCCTCCTCATGTGTTACAGAGCAGGGGTGGGGGATATGGGTGTGTGTGCACCCAAGCCCTAGTGACCTGTAACCCATGCTCCCTAGGGCATCTTTGTCATGGACCACAGAACCCCGGGCCTAACAAGGGTCCTTCTGTGGCTACAATTCACACACTCTCCATTGTGTTTGAAATCTGACCAATCTGAGTTTGGGAGCAAACGTCACAAATAAGGATCATGCACACAAGATGTAATTAGCTAAACTTTATAAAGTCAGCAATCTGGAACATGAACTCCACAGGCAGTCATTTTTTTTCTAAATAAAATTCAACAGCCTGCACAACTGCCACGTTATTAATGAGGCAGCAAATAAGTGAGATTTAAGGGAACAGAGAAGGTTTCGACAGAAAAAAAAATCCACCAGCACCTGAAATCTTTCAGCCTGGCAAAAACAATTCAGTTGCCCAAGTCAAAATTCCTAGCCAAATTTCATTAGAAAAGAAAAAGGGAAAAGAAAATGTTCACCACTTAAAAGATCAATCTTTACATGAATGACTCTGGCTTCAGCTTTGGTTATTAAGCCGTTAAAGTGGGCTGCAGAAAAAGAGGAGCAGATTGTCTTGCTGCCCCCACAGCTACTCTCACCCAGCCTTGAGTAAAACAAATCTGTCAGCTAGTGTGACTTCTGGGTGCAGAGGCTGCATAACAATATAAGAACGCCCAGAGTGAGGAGCATGTGCCCAGGGTGGGGCACACTTCTAAATGCAGGCACCGCCTCGTGCTAACCGTGCAGGTTTTAAAGGTATTGCCAAATTGAGCTTGTCCCTCTCTCAGGTAGCTTCTGGGGACACAGGCCAGGTTGGAGGATAGAAAGATAAATCTTGACAAGGCCCTAGAGAGAAAGACAAAAGACAACTCTTCTGCAGAGCAAGCCTTTTATTATTTTGCGTGACTGTGTCAAAAATAAAAAAGCAAAATCAGCTTCATGCTGTCGCCTACCCCTTGCACATTCCAGCACACACTATTTCTGGATATCACCCAGTGAAAGGGGGGATAGAGACACTCACACAATAGATGTTTCAAGTCATGAAACGCAGCCATTGTGTCTTTCCTACTGTACTCAGATGGCGAACACAACCCTGGCACCACCAGCGAAAATCACTGTGAAATGAGTTGATGAGTCAGCCAGACTTCGGAGGGTGGGAGAAAAAGGTGGGGAAAACGGGATGCTTTAGAGAAATATTTTTAGTTTTAGGAAATTTGCAACTCTAAAGCAGCATTGCTAGTTATCACTGAGGTTTTTTTGTTTTGTTTGTTTGTTAATTTTTTTTTGCTGAGGAAGATTCACCCTGAGCTAACATCTGTGCCAATCTTCCTCTATTCTGTATGTGGGATGCCACCACAGCATGGCTGCCAATGAGTGGTGTAGGTCCGCGTCCAGGATCTAAACTTGCAAACTCAGGCCAGCGAAGTGGAACACACTGAACCCAACCACTACGCCACGGGGCCGGCCCCTGTTTGTTAAATTTTTATCCCAGTGTCTTGTCTGCTACTTGACTTGTTTTTGAAAATGTGCCCTTAAGGTTCATATGAGTCTAAATAAAGACAAAAGAAGATGTCAGCCATATTTTAGAAGAGCTGCTTTTTCCTTCCCTGAAGCTGTAAGATCTTTGAGGATGGGCAGTGCAAAGGTCAGAGGTCAGAAATAGGCTTGGGAAAGGGGACATGATGGAAGGAAGGCCCCACTAAGCCACTCTCCCATGGGGCAAGGGAGATGCTTCTGATTCCACCCAAGCCTGGGGACTCCTGCTCCTGGGGCTGAAAAGGAGAAACTAGAAAGACAGGAAGAACGACACACAGTGGCCATGGAGCTTTGCTCAGCTCTCTCTGGTTCCAGAATGACTTGTGCTTTCCTACTGTAAGAGATAATCTTCAGAATTAAAATTCAGACCTCCTCCCCTTACCCACACATGCCCCACACACCATGAATATAGCTGCCATCCAGACAATTTTACTAGCAATGCTACCAGCTATCATTAATTGGTCATTTTCTATTCTTCTTGCAAATATTTCCACTGGGAAGTAAAGGGAAATGATCCTCCAAAAACCTGCCCTGAATCATGAACCTCACTAAGGATACTGCTCCCATACAGAACTTCATGT